CTTTCTCTTCCCCCTCTCCCTCCCTCTCTTTCTCTCCCTCCCCCTCTCTTTCTCCCTCTCTCCCTCCCTCCTTCTCTCTCCCTCTCCCTCTCTCTCTTGCACACATAAACACACAAACACACACACACACACACATACACACACACACACACACACACACAGAGACAGCATGTCTGAATCTCACAGCCCCCGTGCAAAAAATAACAATGCAGCAATTTTGCAAAAGATTCTGGGGAGAAGTCATGGCCTCCAATACCCAACACAGGACTTTCCCTCCTGTAAATAAGAGAAAACGGAGCAGAAAACTAATCCGGTATCGGCACCTCACTTTATTGTTCAGGAAACGGTTCCTTTTGTTTTTTAATAATTATATATATATAATTTTCTATTTTTTATATATATATAATAGAGGCCCATCCAGAGAATTGCCACGCGCAGGTGAGTAACTGCCACAGTCCTTGCGCTGAAGCCTCTCAAATATCATTAGCAACGTGTCTTGGTGTCGATATTCCAGTTCGCGTTGTTGTAAGGGGCTCCGGCGAAGCACTTGGCTGCTGTGCGGTCACAATTACAAATAAAGGCTCTACACTCATCGTTGTCCTCTGGAGGGAAGAAGGAAATGGTGAACCTTGCGGGGAGGCATGACCAAAATAAACGCTGCACTATTGCGAGACGCAGCCCTGTGTCTTTTCAATACCCGTTATGAAGTTGCACGCCTAGCTGAAAAGGGATAGAACTTCCATTGTGCTCTCCTGACGACGCCCCTGTAGGAAGGTGGCACCCACCCCTCTCCTAGAAAATTGAAATATCCTAGGAAATATTAAAAAGGCAGAATATTTCCCCTAAAAAGAGTAGAAACTCAGAAGCAGAAACTCACCCCCACCTTTGTTGATGGGTGGGCCATTAAGGCCTGGGCCAGAATATGTTACATAACAAAGACCTCCTCCAGGTAGAGCTATAATAGGAACTGCCCAAAGCCCTTTTCATGACATCATCATCCAGCAAAGGCTCCTGCACGGCCCTGTCTTAGAAAGACGGGTTGGTTGGGGTTTGTGATATTTACCTTTGCAGGTGAGTTCGCCTTCATTACATTCGTATGAATAGATGTTGTAGTAGGGGCCACTCATCAAGTAATTACATGCAGGAAGTTTTTCGGCTTCATCATAGCAGTTGTCATGAGTCTGGCAGCACCTGGCCAAAAGCAGGAAGAGTTAGAGCTGCCTCTCCAGGTGTGAGAAGTTGGTGGGAGGGGTTCACTGGTGCTCTCTGAGCTGGGTTGTTTTCCTACAAACGTTTCATGACCCAACTAGGCAATATAATCAGTGCTAGGAAGGCAGGGGGATCGTGGAAGAGAGCAGAAGAAGGAGGTGGAGGAGGTGGAGAGGGTCCTGTGGGGTCCTTGGTGCTCTCTGAACTTGGTTATTTTCTTGCGGATGTTTCGTGACCCAACTAGGTAACATCAGAGCTAGAAGGGAGTGGGGTTTGCGGAGTGGAGGAGGAGGATTTGGTGCTCTGTGACTTGATTATTTTTTTTTCAGATGTTTCATGACACAACTAGGTAGCATATCAGTGCTAGGACGGAGG